TCATCCATCACCAGACCCACCCATCCATCCCCAGATCCATCCATCACCAGATCCATCCATCACCAGATCCATCCATCACCAGATCCATCCATCACCAGATCCATCCATCCATCACCAGATACATCCATCATCACCAGATACATCCATCACCAGATACATCCATCCATCTGTCCATCACCAGATACATCCATCATCACCAGATCTATCCATCCATTACCAGATCCATCTATCCATCACCAGATCCATCCATCACCAGATCCATCCATCCATCACCAGATCCATCCATCACCAGATCCATCCATCACCAGATACATCCATCACCAGATCCATCCATCACCAGATCCATCTATCCATCACCAGATACATCCATCCATCTATCCATCACCAGATACATCCATCACCAGATCTATCCATCCATCACCAGATCCATCTATCCATCACCAGATCCATCCATCACCAGATCCATCCATCATCAGATCCACCCATCCATCAACAGATCCATCCATCAACAGATCCCTCCGTCCATCACCAGATCCATCCATCCATCCATCATCACCAGATCCATCCATCACCAGATCCATCCATCACCAGATCCATCCATCACTAGATCCATCATCACCAGATCCATCCATCACAAGATCCATCCATCCATCACCAGATCCATCCATCACCAGATCCATCTATCACCAGATAGATCCATCACTTCCATCACCAGATCCATCACCAGATCCATCCGTCCATCACCAGATCCAACCATCACCAGGTCCATCCATCACCAGATCCATCTATCCATCCATCATCACCAGATCCATCCATCACCAGATCCGTCCATCATCAGATCCGTCCATCCATCACCAGATCCATCCATCATCACCAGATCCATCCATCAGATTTTGTCATAGAGGTGGTCAGGTCAGGACAGGGGGGATATTTGCTCATAGAGGTGGTCAGGTCAGGACGGGGGGAGATTTTGTCATAGAGGGGGTCAGGTCAGGGCAGGGGGAGATTTTGTCATAGAGGGGGTCAGGTCAGGGCAGGGGGAGATTTTGTCATAGAGGGGGTCAGGTCAGGGCAGGGGGAGATTTTGTCATAGAGGGGGTCAGGTCAGGGCAGGGGGAGATTTTGTCATAGAGGGGGTCAGGTCAGGGCAGGGGGAGATTTTGTCATAGAGGGGGTCAGGTCAGGGCAGGGGGAGATTTTGTCATAGAGGGGGTCAGGTCAGGGCAGGGGGAGATTTTGTCATAGAGGGGGTCAGGTCAGGGCAGGGGGAGATTTTGTCATAGAGGGGGTCAGGTCAGGGCAGGGGGAGATTTTGTCATAGAGGGGGTCAGGTCAGGGCAGGGGGAGATTTTGTCATAGAGGGGGTCAGGTCAGGGCAGGGGGAGATTTTGTCATAGAGGGGGTCAGGTCAGGGCAGGGGGAGATTTTGTCATAGAGGGGGTCAGGTCAGGGCAGGGGGAGATTTTGTCATAGAGGGGGTCAGGTCAGGGCAGGGGGAGATTTTGTCATAGAGGGGGTCAGGTCAGGGCAGGGGGAGATTTTGTCATAGAGGTGGTCAGGCCAGGACAGGGGGAGATTTTGTCAGAGGTGGTCAGGTCAGGACAGGGGGGATATTTGGTCATAGAGGTGGTCAGTAGCAGAGAAGGGAAGGGTGGAGGTGGTGAAGGTTTCTATGTTGGTTGGTTGGTTGGGGGGATTTGGGGTTGGGGAGGGGTTGGTGTGAAGCTGATGAAGGAACAAGGGGTGTTGGGGAAGTTGCCGGGAGCGCAGAGGATGGAGATGACAAGGTCGGGGTATTGCCATTGTGTTAGGTGAAAGAATGAGGTCAGGTTGAGAAGCTCTGAAGTAGCCGGGGTGTTTGCTGGATGGGGGTATCCATTTATGAGTCCATAGGTCCTGCCCCATCCCTTCCCCCACCATCTTCTCATCTATCCTCCTCTCCCTCTGTCCATCCTTTCCTCCATCCATGCCTGTTGGTCGGGTAGCTGCACGTTGATGTTGATTTGTTCCACTTATTTCGGGACTTTGATGTTCATTTCCTTGATTTCTTCTCTCGCTGAATATCTAGAAGGATCATATTTCGGTAACCAGGTCTTCCCCGCCCCCCTTGGCCAGGCTTATAGACCTTTCTGCCCTTACCCTTGCCTCAAGCCACCATTGAAGTTCCCTCTCTATCGTACAAATAACGGGTCACCTTGGGGAGGACAATACCACAAAGACTGGTCCTCCAACCAGCCAGCCGCCAGAAAGCCGTGCAAGCTCCTCGGACACAAGAGCGGGATATACGGCCTGTACCTGCCGCCCAAAAACATGGAGGAGAACTTAACTGGGCCAAAGAGCTAAAAGGACAAAGTGGGCGGAGCGTGGCCCAGCCGCGGTGAGAGGTGAGGCCACAATGTCCGTCCTCCAGGAAGAAGGTCTTCACCCCTCTGGATGCCGCCATTGCTGATCCTATCTATCCTGCATGTGACTTCCGCATGATGCATGTCAGACCTTACCGTATGTTACACCACGCCTCATACATACAACATACATACATCATACGTGTGACTAAGAGCTTGTAACTTCCTGTTTATAATCCTTCTGCCTCTGTGACTAACATCACTAACCGAGCTCTGAACTTTGCATGCCTAGAGGATGAAACCAAACACAAATCTTCCCCGACTACCGTAGCGTGGCCGACCACCCCAAGACCCGCCCCCCCGAGACCCGCCGCCCCACCGAGACCCCCGCTGGTGCCACAAGATCTCTTCTCCAACATTGCTTCCTTCTTCTGGCCAAAATGGTTCAAGTAAGTGTTGTATGTCGTCTTCTCCTCATCCATGTGCCTGATAGCTGAGCCCGGCTCCTGCCGGATGGTAGGGATCTATAGGAGTCGGTGGGATGCCGCCATAGATTAGGGACAGGTGGCAGGACCCCCTCAGAAGACCTCCCACCAGAAATATCCTTTCCCGTCAGTCTAATGATCCGTGCCCTATGTATGTCCAATATAGACATCCGATTCTCAACCTCCGATCCCCGATCCCCTAATTCCCGATCCCCTAATTCCCAATTTCTGATCCCCTAATTCCCAATTCCTGATCCCCTAATTCGCCATTTTCCATAACTCCTGATTCCCTAATTCCCGATCCCCTAAATCCCGATCCCCTAACTCCCGATTCCCTAACTCCCGATCCCCTAACTCGCAATTCCTGATTCCCTAATTCCTGATTCATTAACTCCCGATTCCCTAACTTCCGATTCCCTAATTCCCGATCCCCTAATTCCCAACCTCCGTTCCCCGATCCCCTAACTCCCGATCCCCTAATTCTCAATTCCTGATCCCCTAATTCACCATTTTCCCAAACTCCCGATTCCCAAATTCCCAATTCCCGATCCCCTAACTCCCGATTCCCTAATTCCCGACTCCTGATTCCCTAATTCCCAATTCCCTAACTCACGATTCCTGATTCCCTAATTCCCGATTCCCTAACTCCAGATTCCTGATTCCCTAACTCCCGACTCCATAACTCCCGATTCCTGATCCCCTAACTCCCGATTCCCTAATTCCCGACTCCCGATTCCTGATTCCCTAACTCCCGATTCCCTAACTCCAGATTCCTGATTCCCTAACTCCCGATTCCCTAACTCCAGGTTCCTGATTCCCTAATTCCCGATTCAATAACTCCAGATTCCTGATTCCCTAACTCCCGATTCCCTAACTCTCGATTCCCCAACTCCCGATTCCTGATTCCCTAATTCCCGATTCCCTAACTCCCGATTCCTGATTCCCTAACTCCAGATTCCTGATTCCCTAACTCCCGATTCCCTAACTCCCGATTCCCTAACTCCCAATTCCCTAACTCCCAATTCCCTAACTTCCGATTCCCTAATTCCCGATCCCCTAATTCACGACCTCCGTTCCCTGATCCCCTAATTGCTGATTCCCAACCCCCGCTACCAGAAGCCAACTTCCATAGGAAGCATTGTGTTTTCTATACATTGTATTATGTTCAGGACTCGAAAATGTGACCTTGTGTAGAATATTTATATCCTTTATATTGACCACTCCCGATTCCTGATTCCCTAATTCCCGACTTTTTAACTCCCGATCCCCTAATTCCCGATTCCCTAATTCCTGATCCCCTAATTCCCGATTCCCTAACTCCCGATCCCCTAACTCCTGATTCCCTAACTCCCGATCCCCTAATCCCCGATTCCCTAATTACCGATCCCCTAATTCCCGATTCCCTCATTCCCGATTCCCTAACTCCCGATTCCCTAACTCCCGATCCCCTAATTCCCGATTCCCTCATTCCCGATTCCCTCATTCCCGATTCCCTCATTCCCGATTCCCTCATTCCCGATTCCCTCATTCCCGATCCCCTAATTCCCGATTCCCTAACTCCCGATCCCCTAATTCCCGATTCCCTCACTCCCGATCCCCTAACTCCCGATCCCCTAACTCACGATTCCCTAACTCACGATTCCCTAATTCCCTATTCCCTAACTCCCGATTCCCTCATTCCCAATCCCCTAATTCCCGATTCCCTAATTCCTGATTCCCTCATTCCCAATTCCCTCATTCCCGATTCCCTCATTCCCGGTCCCCTAACTTCCAATTCCCTAACTCCTGATTCCCTAATCCCTAACTCCCAATCCCCTAACTCCCGATCCCCTAATTCCCTAACTTCCGATTCCCTAACTACCGATTCCTTAACTCCTGATTCCCTAATTCCCGATCCCCTAACTCCCGATCCCCTAACTCCCGATTCCCTAATTCCCGATCCCCTAACTCCCGATTCCCTAACTCCTGATTCCAGATTAGCTAATTCCCGATCCCCTAATTCCCGATTCTCTAACTCCCGATCCCCTAACTCCCGATTCCCTAACTCCCGATTCCTTCATTCCCGATCCCCTAACTCCTGATTCCCTAACTCCCGATCCCCTAACTCCCGATTCCCTAACTCCCGATTCCCTCACTCCAGTTCCCTCATTCCCGATTCCCTAACTCCCGATCCCCTAACTCCCGATTCCCTAATTCCCGATTCCCTAATTCCCGATTCCCTAACTCCCGATTCCCTAATTCCCGATCCCCTAACTCCCGATCCCCTAACTCCCGATCCCCTAACTCCCGATTCCCTAACTCCCGATCCCCTAACTCCCGATCCCCTCATTCCCGATTCCCTAATTCCCGATTCCCTAATTCCCGATTCCCTAATTCCCAATCCCCTCATTCCCGATCCACTAACTCCCGATCCCCTAACTCCCGATCCCCTCATTCCTGATTCCCTCATTCCCGATTCCCTAAACCGATCCCCTAACTCCCGATCCCCTAACTCCCGATCCCCTAACTCCCGATCCCCTGATTCCCGATTCCCTCATTCCCAATCCCCTAATTCCCGATTCCCTAATTCCCGATTCCCTCATTCCCGATTCTCTCATTCCCGGTCCCCTAACTCCAGATTCCCTAATCCCTAACTCCCGATCCCCTAACTCCCGATCCCCTAATTCCTGATTCCCTAACTCTCGATTCCCTAACTCCCGATTCCCTAACTACTGATTCCCTAATTCCCGATTCCCTAACTCCCGATCCCCTAACTCCCGATTCCTTCATTCCCGATCCACTAAATGCTGATTCCCTAACTCCCGATCCCCTAACTCCCGATTCCCTAACTCCCGATCCCCTAACTCCCGAT